CCTGGATCCTTCTCCTCTCCAGGTGAGCCCCCCCAGCTCTCCCTGGATCCTTCTCCTCTCCAGGTGAGCCCCCCCAGCTCTCCCAGCCTGGCTCCATGGCAGAGGAGCTCCAGCCCTTGGAACATCTCTGTGGCCCCTTTGTTTCACCTCTCTGTGTGAAAACTTGAGGGTTTTCACCCAGCAGACCCCACAAGCTGCTCCCTGCTCAGGGAGTCTCTCAGCAAGGAGGAGATAAAGCAGCACAAACACTCTGACAGCTCAGGGAATCTCCTGTGGAAGTTTCCCTCCTGCCATGGCAGAATGTCAGAACCAGTCCGAGGAAAAACGGGCCAAACAAAACACAGCTGATTTTACACGCAGCAGACAAAATATAGCTCAGAGCTGCTGCATAATCTACATTTCAGCAATGCCCAGGGGGGTTTTAAAGAATTCACTAGAAACCCAAGAGTATTTGGGAGTTCAGAGCTCAGACTTCACCATCTTCCAAATTCTCTTTTTACCATACTAGGCAGAGACCTTCAGCTTTATATCTCAATGTGCTACAAGATGTCAATCCCTGATTCCCAGTAGCTTGGATACATTAACAAGAGCTGGATTCTGATGCTACAGCTGAAGAAAATTGCTGCTTGTTTCAAAGTCTGAGCTGTGAGAACCATTCACACCGAGTGGCTGACCCCACATGTGTGGGTTTGCTTTACCTGCAGTTAATTCCCAGTGTTTTGCTGTTTCCTAACCCAGGAGATCTGAGCTGTGCCCTCCCATCTGCTTTCTTTTATAAATGGCACATGTCAGAATTGGATCCAGGGAGTGCTGCAGAGCTCCCTGCTGAAGGAGAAGTGATTGCACGCCCTGAAATTGCCTCCTGATTGATGGTGTCTGTCTCCTTCCAAGCTTTCTATCATCAGTTAAAGCATCACCCCAGGCAGAGCTGCTTTCCCCAGCCACAGAGTGAAGAGGAGCCCTCCTGGTGCTGGCTGCTGTTTGGATAACAAGGAACACATCCAATGTTTGCATGGAATTTGTATTTCTGTGTTCCTCCTACGTGCTTCTCTGAGCTGAGGCAGGATTCCCAGCAGCTCCTCAGAAAGCTCACGTTTTCTTTTAGCAAACTGGGCTAATTGTGGCTATAAACAGCCAAATTTGCTAGCTCTTAAAAAACAATTCACTTCTAAGCAAGCATCAAGTGGGAAAGTTCACCCAGGCAGTTTTAACTCCGGCCTGAGAACCACAGATCTGTTTTAGAGGAATGAATACAGCTGAAGGTAAGCTAAGGATATCTGGGTATCCTGGGCTGATCACCCCACTGTGGGCAGCAGGAAAGGGGGGATTCTGCCCCTGTGACCCCTGTGCCAGGTGAGCCCACCTGCAGTGCTGCCCCGTGCCCAGGTGAGCCCACCTGCAGAGCTGCCCCAGCCCTGGGGATTCCAGCAGCACAAGGACCTGGAGCTGCTGCAGAGAGCCCAGAGGAGCCCCCAGAGCTGC